GTGGGGTCCTTGGTGCCCTCGGAGCTTGGTTGTTTTCTTGCAGACATTTCATGACCCAACTAGGGAACATCATCAGTGCTAGAAGGGAGTGGGGGGAGGAGGAGGAGGAGGAAGAAGAGGAAGAGAAAAGATTAGTAGTAGTAGTAGTAGTAGTAGAAGAAGAAGAAGAAGAAGAAGAAGAGGAAAAAGAAGGGGAGGAAGAAGAAGAGAAAAGCGAGGAGGAGGAAAAAAGAGGAAGAAGAAGAGGAGGAGAAAAGGGGAGGAGGAGGAGAAAAAAGAAGAAGAGGAAGATGGGGAGGAGGAGAAGGAAGAAGAGGAGGAGGAAGAAAAGGGAGAAGAACAAAAGGAAGAGGAAGGCGAAGAGGAGGGCTCTGTAAACTTCCCAACATCCATTCCGGGCTGGCGGGAGCTGTCCAGGGTCCTGCAGACAACTCCACACAGTCACTTGCTTGTTGGCATGGGCCTTCCTCCTCCTTCGCTCCCAGGGCGAAGCTGCCCCCTTTTGTCTCCAAAGCCAGCCGGCCTTTTGTCAACAGGATCTCTGCAGCGGCCTCTGCTCTGAGGACCTGTGTGCGTGTGCGTGTGTGTGTGTTATCATTGGGCAGCAGCGCTGCATCTCAACTGGCAGATAACGGTGCTGCAATGCCCGGAGACCCTCCGGGACAGAGAAAGACACCATTCTATTCAAGAGTTGCTTTGAAACATTGGTTCTTTGTCCCTCTCTTAATCCATTGCGGCTCTTGCAAAGATAAGGGGGGAGGGAGGCTGGGAAGAGCCCTTCCCTTCGATGATAGCACCTGGTGGCCTCCTTTTCAGACAGAAATATGAACGGCTGAACTCCCCAAGGAAGGCAGAGAGAAAAGAGGGCCCTCGTCTCACTTCCGTCCCATTGCTCGGGGCTTCTTCTCAACCTTGGCCACTTTGAAGACTCGTGGACTTCAACTCCCCAAATACCCCCAGCCCGCTAGGCACCCATTTTCAAGCTCCACCTTGAAAAACCCTGTTGTATGGTTATAAGTGGGCTTCTTCGAAATATAACAGTATAAAACAAGGACCAGGGGAGACAGGAGAGCAGGCTTCCAATATTGGAGGGGCTGCCCCAGAGAGGAGGAAGGGGGTCAAGCTATTCTCCAAGGCACCCGAAGGCCGGACAAGGAATGATGGAGGGAAACTGACCAAGGAGAGATTCAACCTGGAAATAAGGAGAAACTTTCTGACCGTCAGAACAATCAACCCATGGAACAGAAGTTGCCTTTGGAAGTGGTGGGAATTTTGATCACGTGACCATGGGGACGTAAATGTGAACAAGTTCATTTTTCAGAGCCATTATAACTTTGAACAGTCACTAAACAAATTATTGTAAGTTGAGGACTACCTGTGTATGCACTAGGAGAAAGGTGCTCTGATATTCAATCTCTACTTCCCTTCCCTTCCCTCCTTTCTTCCTGTCTCTCGTCTCCTCCCCTCTCTTTCCTTCTTTCCTCCTCTCTTCCTTCCTTCCTTCCTTCCTTCCTTTCTTCCTTCCTTCCTTCCTTCCTTCCTTCCTTCCTTCCTTCCTTCCTTCCCCTTCCCTTCCCTTCCCTTCCTGTCTATCCTCTCCTCCCTTCTCTTTCCTTATTTCTTCCTCTTCTCTCTTCCTCTCTCCTTTCCTCCCTTTTACTTGCGATGACACCTTTAAACAACTTCTACTCACCTGCCCTCTTGTTCAACACCACGTGGGAGGACTCTACCCAGCCCTCCCGGATGTTCACACACACAAAAAAAAAACCCCACAGGTCCAACTTTGGCTAGACGTTCCGCTGAAACATTTGAGAAGATGACCTGTTTACTTGGCAGCCAACCAAATAAGGAGCACCGGGTTCAAGTACAACACGCCCTCCAGAACCTCACAAGCCACCACCTTCCACCTCTTTGTAGAAAAGAATGTCACTTGCTCCCCGTTGCAACTCGGGGGCCCTTATCCAGCAGCTATTTTTAGCTGCTATTAACCTCCCGACTTCCACCGTGAGGGCCTCTCTGCCATTGCTGGAGGCCACGGCCAATTTGTCTAATTAAAGAAAATTAAGGAAGAAATGTCCCCAATTAAAGCCAAGAGAAACTGCCTATTTGGGAGGTAGAGTCTTTTGGTCATGGGTGTCACATAGAATTAGGCAAGATGGGCACCGCTTTCCGCTCCGAAGGAGTTGAAAAGGAAGAGGAGCTGGCTCTCTGGAGGAGGAGAAATCCCCCCCACCCCAATGGGATTAATTGGCACGGGTATCTGATTTGGGCCCCCAAAGGGGTGATTTGGTCATTTCCAGGATTAAACCATATCTTTAAATGCGGCGGAATGTCTTCTTCCGTCCCAAATACCCATGGAACTGTGAACAGATTTAAAAACAAAAAACAAAATAAATAAATAAAAATCCCATATTAACATGCCAATAAGACTCTGGGGCATCGTTTAAACTTCGGAGAATCTCAGTGGATCTCCACAAATTGCACATTAATAATCCTGCTTAAAGTGGTTTAATCGGCTTCCAGTTCTTCTAATCAAGGGACCAGCCAGTCCACTTCTCTCTGGATTCAGGCTTTCTGCCATTCGCAACAGGCCAGGGTTAGTTTGGGCCAAGAACAGGCTACGGTTAGGTCGGGTCACAGGTGGCTAAATGACCGTTTTGTGAAACTTCTCCTTCAGGCCTTCATGGCCTCTTCGCGCTAAACCACATTTGAAGGCTTCAGCCCCAATTAACTGGGACTGGCCTGACTCTACAAAACAATAAACCATGACTTGTACAAGTTTGGGGTGTGCGGGAGAGCCACAGAAAGCCGGAATTCAAATTGTAGAAAATAGGACGTTGCGCTCTGGGCCTGCAAGAGCCATTTTGATGTGGGACAGCCTTCGTCTTGTGAGGTCACAAAATGTTCTGTGGTCTTGGCATTGAAGTCTTCTTCTACACCCCCTCCTCCTCTCTAAAAAGCCCACTCCCTTCTAGCACTGATGATGTGACCCAGATAGATAATAAAATGTCTGCAAGAAAACGACCAAGCTCAGAAAGCACCTAGGACCTATAGTCCTCCTCCTCCTCCTCCTCCTCCTCCCCCGCATTCCTCCCTGCAAACCCCACTCCCTTCTAGCACTGATGATGTTACCTAGATAGATATTAAAATGTCTGCAAGAAAGTGACCAAACTCAGAGAGCAGCTAGGACCTATAGTCCTCCTCCTCTTCCTCCTCTTCCTCCTCCTCTCTAAAATCCCCACCCCCTTCCAGCATTTATGATGTTACCTAGAGGGGTAACGACACATCTGCAAGAAAATAGCCAAGCTCAGAGAGCAACAAGGATCCCCTCATATAAAGTCTGCTTTAGGTCTCCACGCTTGCAACTCTTCACCTCTCAAGGACACTCCTCAACCCAACATCCAGGTCCAGAGTTAGTTCAGATGACCACACCAGGCGAGTTTTAGGAACGGGCTGCTTTTCTCCTGCTGGCCACCGGGGGGAGCCTGGAAACCACGCTATCTCTCAGGCCGTTCTACAGACAAGCCGCCCAAGATCCGGTACCCAACCTGGGTCTCGTTTGAAAAAAGGGAAAGTGGCTGCAAAGGTAGAGAGAGAAAGAGAGAGAGGGGTGGCATTGCTTGCTTCTGAGGAAAAGCCAAATTGGAAAAAAACCGGGCTATTTGGACCCGGTTCTGGTGCCTTGGGCGCCTTCCAGGTGG